AGCCATTTTTGCCTCCAGCTGCCAGCCTTCCTCGTGCCCTTGGACCCTCGTTGGTTTTCCCTCTGCTGCTCTCTCCCTGGACTGAAGGACCAGCTCCCCTCCTTGGGGTTTGGACTGTAAGGACAAGAACCTCCTTCAAACAACCACTCAGGTCTTCCCCTTGGACCAACACTAACCTGTCGTCCCTCTTTCCAGGAGTGCTGAGTTCCAGCGTGTGAAACATTTCACTGTACATAATAAACACTGTTCTTTTGTATTTCCCCTGTGTCTGCCTCGTTCTGGGTCTCAAACTATCTGGGTTCCCCGCGTAATCCTAACACCTGCATTATTGAGCGTGGACTTTGTTTTTTTCAACCATTTTGACAAGACTGTCAACAAGGAATAGGGCCAGCAATGGAGGAGGGTGCGTACCAAAGAGACCATCTTATCACAAGCAGGACTGGTTTGTTCCATTTTGGAGTAAGCTGTTGAGGGAAGAATCAGTTTAGCTGTGTGTTTCCTTGACTGATGAAACCTTCCGGATCAAAGGTGAAACATTTCAGAAAAAAAAAAAGAAACTGTCCAGATGACCTGACTGAAAAATGATGGAACACTAGAAAACCTTTCTGGGGGTGTTTATTTTTCTTTTTGGCATTATTCTCCTACTAGGTCAAAAAATTATTGACAACGATTTAAGGCAACAACACAGGTTGTTTACATGAAAACATTGTTTTATGCAAGATGAATTTTGACACGCTTAAGAATTTTTTTCCTTTCTTTTGAGAATCCTGTATTTTCCTTTTTTATCATGCAATATTAATCTGTTAAAATTGTTGTATTTTTATTTTTCAGTACTGTACTCTGTTTGCCAGAAGGGAGAGATGAGGACCAGGTTGTATTTTAATTTTTTATTTTATTTTTCTGGGTCTTTGAGAGTTACAGACGATGCTGAAAACCTTCATCCCTCATTGACGCATTTACGAGCAACACACATATACTAGGTTTTGTGTGATAGTCTAAGGTCTGGATGCTTTGAGAAAAAAAAAGTTTCTTCTATTTTGACACTCTGTGTTGAGGGAAGTTGAGAACAGACTGGAGACCCCCCACCCCCAACAGTATGTGAGTGGAGCTTTAAACCCCAGCAAGATGACCAGGACATCAAGGTCTATGTTTCGTAAACAACTCCTTAACTCTCCTCTCTAAGAAGTGAGTACATCTTATCAGCCCACCTCCAAAAGAGAACTGAAATCCAAAGGCTCAGAGGAAAAAAACATTACATAATGTTTGGCGTCATATCAGATGAGACACAGGCCAAGATGACATTAGAACCAATCACCTACAGTCTAGATTATTGGAACTTGATTGGCAAACTCTGATATCTTTTGACCATGAAACCAAGTTTATTTTAACATTTAAATATGGAAAAGTATCAAGATACACTAAAGGAAGAGTTTTACTCTTGTGTTTTCTTTTTGAGGGTATGAGAAGCATTGAAGTTGGAACTGCATATTAACTCTTTCCGTGTTTTTTTTGGACATCTGACAGGGACAAATGGAGATTTGTGGTTTTTCTGTGGGGTGGAGGAGGTCTGGATCTGAACCTGATAGTCAGATTACAGTAACCTCAGAATATTTTCACTCACTGCAAAGTACTTGACGACACAGCATGTCTTGGGTCAGAGTCGATGGAGCTGCGTAAGAGGTACGGTGAAACAGTAAAGAATAGCAGACTATGAGAAGTTCTGTTTGTGTAACTCTGATCTGTAAGGACTGTCCAACCTCTCGGAGATTATGTGGATCTTTCCAGAGGGACTCCTGGGCGTGAGTAAATGAAGTGCAGTGGGCGAGGTCATTTGGAAGATAATGTCAAAATTAGGGCTTTTGACCAATGACCTGATTTGAATCTGTCCAATACCCCAGCCTCTCCACAGGAAGCCTTGAACATTTAAGTTTAGAGTTATTCATGAAAAGAGATCCAGTTGAGGCAAAAAATTGAGTCATTTGTTTTTTGTTTGTTTCTTGAAAGAAACTACAGGGGGGATTACCGTATGTTATAAAATTACCGTATGTTATGAACTGAGATTTTGTTATCAACTGGGATTATGTTTATTCAGCTAAGGATTGAATATTTGTTCAGATTTGTATGTTAGTGTCATTCACTGCAGGATAACTGATCAACATGAGTTTGGAGTAAAACGGACAATTAAGACCTCCATGGTGTGGAGCTGGACAAACCCCAAATGAGAAATGGAAAAAAGGACATCTGGACAAATGTCTCTTCCACGGGACAAGAAGGTATAATTCATTGACTCACATTGACAGGTTGAAAGCGAAAAGGAAAGGAAAGGACTGATCTGAGGATTACAATCACCAGTCGTCTGTCAATCTGACATCATCATAAGAAAATGAATAAAGAAAGGATGGATGAAATGGATGGAAAGCTACAACATGGAGATCCATTGAACAATGCATCCTTGTTGCACTCTCAGGGATGGAGAGTGAAATTACTTTGAAGAGAGTATGGTGTTTTTCATTATGTTTTTGCTTTGAAATTAATATTCATGTTGTTTTGTTTTACTGGTTTACAATAACCTGGGAAATTTTGGTCTTATGTTCTAAAACAGCTAAAAGAAAGAGAAAACTAAGAGACCTTAAAGAAAAAAAATGACAACTAAAATATTGTTTTTAAACATCAGAGTGTGAGCAAATTTGGGAACAGTTTGCAAGTAACAGAGATAATGAAAATATTTCTATAAAAATAAATGATTCCTTGGGAAGTTTCAATTCTTAAAGAAATTACAAGGTTTGCACATTCTACCAAAATGCTCTTCTGGTGAGATATTCAATTCAATTAAATTCAGTTTATTCATATAGCGCAAAATCACAACAAAGTTGTCTCAGGGCACTTTACAGAAACATTCACATACATAAAAGCCAATTAGTAAAGTTCTCTATCTAAGGAGGCCAGCAGACAAGTTGAATCTCGGCTTCGTTGCAATCTCCCATCCTGAGCAAGCACAGTGGCAACAGTGGAAAGGAAAAACTCCCCTTTTAAAAGGAAGAAACCTCCAGCAGAACCAGGCTCAGGACAAGTGGCCATCTGCTTAAAGGTGATAAAGGTTTCAATTGACAGGCACTGGTTGATTGAATCATAATAAATAAGATGAAGTAACAAATGATTAGAGGCACTAAACCAACTAGAAAGATTGTGATTTATGCAGAAATCAGGTTGGAAAATCAGTGCAAAAGAAAAAACTGATTAGCTAACAAAAAAAATAAATCTAAATAAATTGCTAACTAAAAGCTAACAGTAAGATATCAATTAGAGGAAAGAACCAATTTGGAATAAATGAATGCTATCATAAAAAAATAAAATGACGTTTTAATCCATGAAAAGCAAGTGAAGGGGCAACTGAGGCTTAGTGGTTCAATCGTCCTCCAATGCAAGAGTTGGGGGTTCGATTCCACCATCAGTCACATGCTGAAGTGTCCCTGGGCAAGACACTGAACCCCTCGTTGCCTCCGATGTGCGTCCCATTGGTGTGTGAATGTGATAGAGTATTGATTATAAAGTCGAATGCTATATGAATGGGTGAATGAGGGACAGATTGCATTATGGGAGCTTTGAGTATCTTGATAAGATAAAAAGGCTATATAGTTGTGGTCCATTCACTATTTACCAAGAAAACACAGTTTTCCAGAAATTATCTAAAACAAAAGGTTGAAATGAACACACACACAAACACACACATTCATACATCTCTCTACTACACACATGTTCATACAGCACTCTACCATACACACAGTCATACAGCACTCTATTGCCAACACATTCATACAGCTCTCTACTACACATACATTAATACTGCACTCTCCTACACACACAAACACACATACATACACATTCATACAGCACTCTACTACACACACACATTCTTACAGCACTCTACTAGGCACACACATTCATACAGCACTCTACTACACACACACATTAATACGGCACTCTACTACACACACACATTCATACAGCACTCTACTACACACACACATTCTTACAGCACTCTACTAGGCACACACATTCATACAGCACTCTACTACACACACACATTCATATGGCACTCTACTACACACACACATTCATACAGCACTCTACTACACACACACATTCATACAGAACTCTGCCACACACACATTCACACAGCACTCTACCACACACACATTCATACAGCACTCTACCACACACACATCCATACAGCACTCTACCACACACACATGCATACAGCACTCTACTACACACACACATTCATACAGCACTCTACTACATCTCTACAAAGATAATCTGAATCTGTAGAGACTAATCAAAGCTTTGATCTAAAGCTTTGATTAGTCTCTACAGATTCAGATTATATTCATTCATACATTGATGGGACACACATCAGAGGCAATGAGGAGTTCAGTGTCTTTCCCAGGGCAACTTCTACACGTGACTGCTGGTGGAATTGAATCCGCAACTCTCTCACTGGAGGACAACTATTCTAACCACTCAGCCACAGCTGCCGGTAAAAAGTAAAGTGCTGTGAATACTTTCTGGTTGCACTGTATTTTAAGATCAATGTTGATATTTATTATAAACTCATTCCATAATACAAAACAGACAGTTTAGTAGCTAAATGTATTTAGGTAAAACTGTAACATTTTAGAATGCTTCAAATACAGCTGGTATGTCATATTCTAGGTCAGTAATCAATAAATAGATATACAGTTGATACTTTGCTGATCCATATAGGGAAACTGTGTACAGGATAAAGTTACACCAATAAATTCTGGCCTATTCAAATCTAATCTTTGTTCTTGGCCAGCTGTCTTCTTAAGTATTAAAACTGCTCATCCTGATGGAATGCTAAAAATAGTACAATATTTAAGTGAACCGGTTATTAAAGAGGCATGAAAAGCACAGTATCCTTCAATGCCATTTGGTATGCAAAATTAGGTACAAAAAAAAATTCCAGAGGACTGTCTCACCTTAGACTGAGAAAGCAGTTCATTAACACGAGACAGGACACAGTTGTTTTGCAGATTTCCATATGAGCCATCATGTAAACACTTTGCTGTCATTGCACCAACATAGTCTCCTTTGCAAAGCACTTGACTGACATAGCCTTCAGGCCCTGAACCATATGTATCACTTTCACATATGAAACCTAGAGGAAACAAAAATGCTTTGAGTTAATTTTAGGTTACTATATAATTAGAAGAAAATGTGTTTATGCACCTAAATTATTTTATTTTCTAATTTGATACTCACGGTCATCGCTGTAGTTCAGTGTAATTGTTTGTCTATATGCTGGATTAGTATTAGTGGTTTCACAGGTGAAAATTTTGGGTTCCCCAGGTTTACATTGATCAGGAACTTTAACATTGAACGTATCTTGTTGACCTGGAGGAATTCATAATATCACACAGTTCAGTTTGAAAGGAAGGGAAGTAGAAAACAATCAAAAATTTAAAAACAAATAATGTATATGAAATTCTAAATTCTAAATTAGTTTCTCTAGTTTCAGTTAGATAGAGCAATCATTTCTCCATCCATTTCTTTCCCCCTTAAGTTTACCTGATACTGCATTGTCTGTAAATTTCACAGTATATGGACTGTTGACCTCACACTTCAGTGTTACAGGAGAAGAACATTTCACTGTTATGCTGATTGGATTCACTTTGACCAGAGGGGCTGATATGGCACTGAAGGTCCCGCTCTGAATGTAAACTGAACTTCTGTTCCCTTGAAGCCTGCATTCATACATTCCTATAATTTAACATTAGAACAAAAATGTTAAACACACAAAACAAACATTACATGGCATTAAGACTGTATTTCAACTTGTTCTCTATCTTTATCATTAAATGCTGTCAGAACCTCAAATTACCTTGTGGCTTTTATAAACTCATAAGCTGTTTATTGGGGTCAGCAAAATTAGAAACTGGCACAAAATGCTCTAAAATCATTTGCAAGTGTTTATTCAAACAATAACGTTTTCCCAAGTTGGGAGGCGGGGTTTTGCCACTTTTGGAGTCATCAGGCACTACAACGACTTGAGATTAACAGAAGCAAAAAATAGGTTCAAATGCTCTGCCAGCTCTTGAACCCACAGCCAGACTCTAGTCAGCTACACCTGTGGATCATCAACTTGATGAGTATGAGGAGCATAAAAGGCTGCAGAAGACATTCAACAGTCAGCCAACAGTAGTCTTTTTCTAGCCTTTTATTTGTGTCTAAAACCAAGTATTAATGATTTGTTTTTCCCTCTCTACCTCCAGTGAGTAACCCTTACAGTCCTCCTGTTTCCTGAATCCTCCTCTATGGATCTTGAGCTCCTCTGTGCCTCATCAGATGCCTACATGCTAGTGATGGTGAGATGAAGCTTCATGAAGCACTGAGGTTTTCCATCAAATAGACTGATTTATGATCCGACGCGCCATGGTGCTTCATTTGCTCTACTACACCATAAAGTGGACTATAAATGAAAAACTGGTAGATGGATTATAATAACATAACTGGTTTGTGAAGCTTTAAGTTGAATAAAAGAATAAATGAAATCATGTTTGTGAGGACCTCAAATAAAGTCTAAATTTTTGTCTGCAAATGATCTTAATCTGTCTTTATGATGATGGTGATGAAGGATTTTTCTGTCTGCCCCTAATATTTTGAATCTCGCGCATACAAACAAGCCAGTTCCTGAATCGGTCACGTGGTACGGCATGCTAGCGAGGCCTCAAATGCAGTAGTTAATTTGAGCTGGATCCTGCCGGAACAAGATCCAGGAACTCGGGTCAAAGCAGATGGCTGCATGTCCTGAGCCTGGTTCTGCTGGAAGATTCTTCATTTATAAAGGGAGATTTTCTTTCCACTGTTGCCACTGTCCAAAAAAGTTCAATCTGGTCCTCTGGACATTCAAAAAAACAAAAACAAAACAAAGCAAAAAAAATCTAGAAACGTTTCGTCTCTCATCCAAGAGACTTCCTCAGTCTGAGGTGCTGTTTTCAGCTCAGTCTCTTAAATAGCACCTTCTCAGAGTGGATCAACCAGTTT